GCGCGGATGGGCCCGTGCGGACGGGAGCCCCCAGCCCCGACGGGCGAGGCGCCGTGATCGCAGGGTGGATGCTGACCGAGCTGTGGAGGGAGCCCCCAGGCGTGGAGAGGACCCCCCAGGGAGTCGGCAAGCAAGGGCCAGAAGCGAGCGGCGCGCAAGCTTAGGCTAGCCACGTGCCGCCAGGCGGCGTTGGACTGGGCCTGCCAAGTCCAGCAGCCGGACTGGTGGAGCTCCCAGTGGACGAGTATATACGCGGAGGCGCCGTGGCAACAAGGGCGCGATACAGAAGTTGGCCCCGCGCGTTGTGAGAAACTGGAGGCGCTAGAGGAGACAATGCCCAACGTGAGCAGCAACAGCGTTGCCGTGATGTGCGAGAAGGGGCGAGAGGCGTGCGTGCGAGAAGGGCGAGCAGCGACTGCCACTGTAGAAGAGGCGAAGATGGAGCCCCCTATCGCTGGCCATTCCCCGTCGCTCCTCGCCGCCACGCCTGGATCAGAGAAAACGGATAGCGAGAACGCTGGCGAGGCGACGACAGAGCCAGGCGCGACCAGCTACAGCTCAGAGGTCGGGGCATGTGAGATGCGGCGAGAGGCGTGCGTGCGAGAAGGGCGATCAGCGGCTGCAACTGTAGCGGAGGCGAAGATGGAGCCCAACATCATTGGACACTCCCCGTCGATCCTCGTTGCCACGGCTGGAGCTACGAAGATAGTTAGCGGGAAAGCTGGCGAGGCGGAGATGGAGCCCAACGTGACCAGCTACAGCTCAGAGCATGGGGCATGGGAGAAACGGCGAGAGGCGCGTGGGCGAGAAGGGCGAGCAGTGGCTACACCTGTCGAACAGGCGAAGCTGGTGCCCAATATCGCTGGTCATCCCCCGTCGCTCCCCGTCGCCTCAGCTGGATCGAGCTTCACAAGCGCGGCGATGTGTCAGGCGCGCGCCGAGATCTCCCGCAAGTGGCTAGGCCCGAGCAGGGGGCAGCGCAAGCAGGAGGAGGAGGCGAAGCCGAATCCCGACGTCGACAGCTACAACGAGGAGATGTCGCCTCTCGCGAGGCTCCTCGGGGAGATCCTCGAGGAGGCCAGACGCACAGCGAGAAGTGCGAGAAGCGGGAGGCGAAGACTGCGCCCGACATCATCAGCTACAGAGCCGGGAGCAGGGCGTGCGAGAAAGACGCGAGAGTCCAAGCACGGCCTCGAGAACAGAGAAGGGCGAGAAGAGAACGCCTGCCGCGACCAGCTACAGAGCTGCGATCGCGCGGGCAAGCGCCGAGACGAGACCGCGGTGCGCCCGCCCAGCGCCGCGCACCCTGGGGAGCCCGCTGAGAAGGCGGGCACACCCAGGGGAGCGGCCAGGGAGCGGGGCCCGCGGCGCGAGGAGAGCGCCAGAAGGACGGAGCGGGCGCCGCCCAGAGCCGCAACCCCTGGGCAGCCCGTTGAGAAGGCGGGCGCACCCAGGGGAGCGGCCAGAGGCCGAGCGCACCGCCAGCGGCGCCCGAGCGCGGACGCCCCATACCCTGGACGGGAGCCCCTTGAGAATGGGGGCATTCCTGGGGGAGGGGCAAGCGCCGCGGGCGTAGACAGCCACTGCGGCTGGGGGGAAACTCCGATGCCTCCTCCTCCTCCTCCTCCTCCTCCTCCTCCTCCTCCTCCTCCTCCTCCCCCGCCATCCCACTTCGCTCGGAACCTCCCGAGCGCAGTGAACCCCACCTCCCCCCCTCAGAAATCGTGGGGTGGTGGGGTAGGGTTCGCATGTGGCCTCCTAGCGGGGGGCTCAGCAATGCCCGCGCACCCGCCGGGGCGACCGCCCCCTCGGAGGAGCCGCCCGGGCACCCGCAGGCACGCGCACGGGCGCCGCCGCCGGCCAGCGCCGAGCGCGGCCCTCGGCGGCCCCTCCGCGGCCCGCGGCAGGCGCGCCCCCCCGCGGGGCTGGGTGTGCGCCGCCGCCAGGCCGCCCGGCAACGTGGGCTGCCATGGGGGTGCCCGGGCCCGGCTTCCACGGCGGCGCGGCGCGCGGCGCTCGAGGCGGCGCTCCTGGCAATGCGAGCTTGAGCGAGGGCAGCCTGCGGGTGGGAAGGGGTGAGGATGCGGGGAGGAGGAGGGGCGAGGAAGGGCGAGGCAGGAGGCACGGAGGCGGTGGTGGAGGGCGAGGCGGGTGCACGGGAGGAGGAACGCGTTGCCTTGCCCGTGGTGCATGGCGAGTGCTCATGGCAACGATGCCATGTAGAGAACGCGCCAGGTCACGGCACGTGAAACATTAGTCAACCCGCGAAGCGCCTTGAAGTGCCCCTTCAAGGCCCACGGCTCGAGCCTTGCAAGCGGGACGCACCACTCCAACTCCCATCATCTCTTCCCCATACCTAGAGGCCCAGAAACCTGTTTCTCATATGGGATGCATACCTGCTACCTCTCTCCTTCTCGCTCTCTCTCTCTCTCTCGCTCTAGTTCTCTCTCTCTCTGTCTTTTGTTGTCTCTCTCTCTCTCTCGCCTTCTGTCGCGTTCTTCATCGATGTCTCTCCATCTCTCTCTCTCTCTCTATTTCTCCAACCTGGTCTATATGTCCTTCTCTCTTATTCGCGCCGCTGACCATGCAATCATCAACTTATGACGACCCTGGCAACAACAAACAACATAGAATCGGCACGCCACCCCGACAAGGGAAACTAATGTAGATCAGCTCAAGGTCTGAGGTTGGGGGGTGAGATCGAAGTGGAACGGAGAGCCCCCCACCGGGAAATCGGTTTCGGTTTTGTGTTCGTGCGTGCCGTGCGTGCGGGCGAGGCGAAGCTGCGTGGGTGGGCGAGAGGAAACTCTCCTGTGTCTGAGGCGCGGCCGGACCAAATGTTCCACCCCCCGGCAAGCGGGGCCGCGCGGTGTCCCGCCGGTGTCCCGCTGGTGTCCCGGTAAGTCTCCTGTGGCTGAGGCGCGGCCGGACCAAATGTTTCCCGACCGGCAAACGGGGCCGCGCGATGTTCCGCCGGTGTCCCGCCGGTGTCCCGCTGGTGTCCCGGTGTCCCGCTGGTGCGAAAACGATAGTGAGACCGATAGTGAGATCGATTGTGAGATCGATTGTGAAATCGATAGTGAAATCGATAGTGAGATCGATCGAGTGAGATCGATGGAGAGATCGATTGTGGGATCGATAGTGAGAGCGATAGTGGGATCTATGGTGAGATTCACTTTGAATGTCTTGGAGCTGTCCTGTCCACTGCTCGTGCAAACATCCCACCCTCCCACCCGCAACTTGGTCGCAAGACCTCTTAAGACCGTGACGGTGGGTACCAAATGGCACTTGGCAGCGACACCGACGCCGACGACGACAGCGACAACGACGACGACGACGACGACGCCGCTGACAACGACTACGACGACACCGACGACATCTCCAACGACTTCGACGACGACAACGACGACGACGCCGACGACGACGACAATGACAACGCCGACGACGACGACGACGATGCAGACGACGACGATGACGCCGACGAAGACGGCGAAGACGACGACGTCGCCAACGAAGACGACGACGAGGGAGGAGGGAGGACGACGGCGGCGACAACGACGACAACGACGACAACGACGAGGGAGGAGGGAGGACGGCGACGACGCGAACGACGAAGAAGGAGGAAGGACGGCGACGCCGACGACGACACCGACGAGGGAGGAGGGAAGACGACGACGACGACAACGACGACGACGACGGCGACGAAATGGGAGGGACGACGACGAGACGCCGACGACGGACGACGACGACGACGAGGGAGGAGGAGGAAGAACGACCACGGCGACAACGACGACAGAAACGACCACGACGCCAAAGAGGACGACGACGACGAACACGAGGAAAGACCGAGGACGACGTAGGCGACGACGACGACGACGCGGGAGGAGGGAGGACGGCGACGACGACGACGACGACGACGCAAGAGCGCGCGCGCACACCCCTGTTGAAAATCCGTGTTGCGAAATCTCGCGTTTTTGCAGGATTTTGGACACACGATCTTGAAATCCTTCCGAAACCGATGGGTTTTGAAGGATTTCGGCATACGCGCGCGACGACGCGCGCGTCTGCACTTCGTCACATTTGTTGCAGAAGATTCTCGCGACGGCCCACGCGCAAGGGCGTTCGACAGATTGGTAGCATGTTGTGAAGATATTGAAAAACCTATGGTTTTCTTCAGGTTTTGCAAGAGCTCGCGCGTAAGCTTTTTAGCACATCAGTGTTGCGAAACCCTGTGTTTTTGTATGTTTTTTGGAAACTCGATTGCGAAATCCTTGCGACACCGAAGGTTTTTGAAGGATTTCGGCATGCGCGCGCGACGACGTGCGCGTGTGCACTTCGTCTATTTTTTTGCAAGGGAGTCGTGAAACAGTCTTATGTTTGAACAACAATTGTCCCCGCGTATTTTTTTTGACAAGGGAACCTCAGGGGGACCGATCCCGGCCCCCCTGGGATAGTGTAAATTCATACTTCGGATGGACATGTGGTCAGAAACATAAATGATTTACATATCCGAAAGGGGGGCCGATAACGCCGGGGGGGGGGGGGTAGAGTCGATTCTCTTTTTGGAATGGAGGATCGATTGAGTAAGATCGATCGTGAGATCGATCGAGTGAGATCGATAGAGAGATCGATAGTGATATTGATAGTGAGATCGATGGAGTGATATCGATAGTGAGATCGATCGAGTGAGACCGATAGTGAGATCGATCGAGTGAGATCGATAGTAAGGCCGATTGTGAGATCGATCGTGGTATCGATAGTGAGACCGATAATGAGATGCACATCGAAATGCAGATCGACATGCAGATCGAAAAGCTAATCGACATGCACATCGATAAGCAAATGCAAATGCATATCGTCAGGCACATCGACATCCCGTGCTGCATGCTGTGCCAAGAGCGAGCGGCAACGCAACAATCTCTGAACACCAATGCTCCCAATACGAACGTTGGTGGAACAAGCTCTTAAGGGTCGCTCCAAAAAGCTCCCGGGAGGCCTCAAGAGGCCCCCAAGAAGCCCCAAAAGGCTCCCAAGAGGCCCCAAAGAGGCCCCACAAGAGGCCCCCAAGAGCCCCCCAAGGGGTCCAAGAGACAAGCCCAAACGGCCCCCCAAGCCCTTGCAACATTAACGAAATAATATGTTATTTCGTTGGTTCCCGGGGCGGGCCAGGGCGTGCTAAGATCTCCGGTAACTGGTTAACAGTATTAACAGTATTCTACTAGCCTTCGCGCGCGCCCCAAGAGGCCCCCAAGACTGCCCAAGAGGCCCCCGAGACGCCCAAAGAGCGCTCGAAGACGCCGAAGATGACCCCAAGACGGCCCAAAAGGCCCCCAAGACAGCCCAAGAGGCCTCCAAGACGCCCCAAGAGCCTTCCAAGAGGCCTCCGAAGAGAGCCCCAAGAGGCCAAAATCGTTGATTTTCATTGTTTTTTTCTATGTTTTTTGTGTTCTGGCTTTTTCGGCTTCCGGACGCTCCAAGACGGCCCAAGAGGCCCCCAAGACCGCTCCAAGACGGCCCACGAAGCTCCCAAGACGGCGCCGAAACGACCCAAGAGAGCCCTCAAGACGGCCCAAGTGCCGCCCAAGACGGACCAAGAGGCCCCAAGACGGGCCCAAGAGGGACTCAGGAGGGATACCGAGAACTCAAAAATGGAGCCCTCCGTCCCAGAAGGCGCCCAGGAGGTCCCAAAGAGGCCCCAAGAGGCCTCCAAGAGGCCCCAAGATGTCGCCAAGAGGCCCCAGGAGACTCCCAGGAGGCCCAAAAGAAGCCCCAGAAGGCTTCAAACATGTCTCCCAGGCGCCCCCGAACGGCCTCTCAACAGACCCCAAGAGGCCCCCCAAAGAAGCATCTTGACGACGACTCTATTTCGCCCCATCGAGAGACGACCCCCAGGGAACTGCTTCACCATCAAAACTCCCCACGCAACGCGTCCGAACGACACCCGCCCCCAAGAGCGCAACATGGGCAACGAACACACAGACAAAAACCAGCGATGCCATATCACGGGCCGGCGGAATGAGCGAAGCGATTCAATAATATGTTATTTCGTTGGTTCCCGGGGGGGGAATGATACCAAGGCGCCCAAGAGCGAAAGGTGACATAAACAGCTCGACCACAAGGTTCCTAAGAGCGAGCGGCAACGCAACAATTTTCACTGGTATCGTCAGAACAGCAATCACCATGATTGCCCATTGCTGGCCCCCTCCCCCCCCTCCGTATCACTCGCAGGGTGGTCGTATAGGTAAATATTATACGGTGCCGCTCGCGTAGTCGAGCGATCACATTACACGTCCCGCACCATCGCTACTGCTAAAGCAACGATTTTGGCCATAGCTAGTCTCACTCGACGCAGAGGCGACTGGAGCCCGATCTCTCCACCCCTCCCCCTCTAACCCCTACACCTCCTCGGGAGGCGAGCAGTGGGAAGCGCTGATCATCCAGCGAACGCCGACAAGGCAGAACAAGGCGCGTAGACGACGACAAAACCAACAGTCCGTCTCCTGTTCGGGGGCGGCCACGAGGGGGGCGTCCAAGAGGGGGAGGGGGGGGCGCAAATCATGGCTGGCGGCACGTGCTCGGCCCAGAGGGGGGGGGCTGGAGACGTAATGAAACAAGACGAGGCGACATGAAATCTGGGGAGATATCATGGCCCGGCCATGAATCCCCCCCATTGTCATCATCCCCCTCTTGGCCGCCCCCGAATCCTGCTCCTTGGGGTCTCGTCCCGCCCTGGGCCCGGGCGCGGCCCCACCGTGCTCTCGTTCGCCGCGCCGGAGGGGGAGGAGGAGGAGGAGGAGGAGGAGGAGGAGGAGGAAAAGGAGGAGGAGGAGGAGGAGGAGGAGGAGGAGGTGGAGGAGGAGGAGGAGGAGGCGGAGGAGAGAGGGTGGTGGAGAGAGGAGGAGGAGGAGGAGGAGAGGAGGAGGGAGGAGGGGGAGGAGGAGGAGGAGGGAGGCGGAGGCGGAGGCGGAGGAGGCGGAGGAGGAGGCGGAGGAGGAGGAGGAAGAGGAGGAGGAGGAGGAGGAGGAGGAGGAGGAGGAGGAGGAGGAGGAGGAGGAGGCTCTCTCTGCTCTGTTCTGCGTTCGGGGGTGCATGCCTGGCGATGTCGCCATCTTATATGGCACCCCTGCGTGGGGCCTTCACGCGCCCTGCGTCCTCTGCAACTACCATGGCGCTCGCTTAGGGCGGCCCTGTGCCCCGCGCGGGCGGGAGGGTGCCTCGTGGAGCGGGAATGCACCCACACTTCACTCTCGAGAAGGGAGAGGGAGGGAGGACACACTCGAAAGAGGGGGGAAGGGCAGAGGGAGGGT